ATATAAGCCTCTGTGTGTTTCTTTGGGACTGAATGGACTAGGAGGGACAGAAACGCTGTCTACAAATGGTGCCCAAACTCTTGGCAGGAATTTTCATATAAAGCCTGAGAAAGCTTTAAAGCTGCATTAATCCAACCTACATATTTTGAAAATGCCTTGACTTCAAAATTTAAGATTAAAGATATGTTACTTTGGAGAAGAGGTCTTGCTTTTGTTTCCATAGAGACAAGCTACCAAACAATGTGGCTAAATAGAGACAAGAATTATAGGTTTAATTTAAGTTGTAAGAACAAGTTAATAATAATCCTAAGCTAATAGGCCAAATAGTTTATAATTAATATAAGCCTCTGTATGTTTCTTTGAGATTGAATGGCAGCAGGACCAGGCAGGACAGAAACTCTGCCTACACATTTCCACATAAGGAATGGAGATGTAGAAGGTTAAATACTCCACCCATGATGTCTTTTGGAATCCTCAGGGATCATTAACCAAAACCAGCTTATCTAACTGCTTCTAAATGTATTGCGTAGTCAGCACAGGCACATCCATTGGTGCTGTGAGAGTCTACTAAAATTGAAATGCACAGATTATAATGAACAAGATGCATACATTCTTTTCCACACTACCACCTTAAGCTTCAAGACTAATGTTTTCAACCAAGGTGTCTTATACATTTCCTTGAAAGATGCTCCAAAGGCTGTAGTAGCTTTCACAATGAGTTCTAAAAGAGTTTCTCATGAAAATATTCCATGTATAGCAAATACATGGATGGAAAATATGAAAATTTCAAATTACATTAATGTTATACATAAAATCCTTTTAGTAATAAATTAAACAGATTGATTGGAGATGAAAAGCCATATTTTGAAGATAGCATCAGAAAGGTAAGCAAATATAGATATACCTATTTCCTACAGAATGAGTAAAAGGCAGTTTAGCATCACTGAAATTCTGCAACACTGCCTGTTGGAGATCAGCCTCAACAAAAACACCTCTTGCCAGAGTATGGGGATGGGGATTGGAAAAATAAGTAAAGAGTACAAAAATATGAGTAAAATAATAAAACAGAAAACATAGGATAATATCAAAAGGGAGTTCCACTGAAATCACCCATGTTTAATTTTCCAGACACTTTTATATGGTAATACAAAAGGGGGAAGAAGGCAACAAAAGACTTCTTTAATATGATACAAAGAACAACAGTTAATTGCTTCAGCACTTTGAGACATTAAGTCATTAGCATTCTGTTGTTGTTTATGAAGTGAAGCCACCCTAGACCAAGTATCCTGAAGGCAACTATTCCCCAGGTAACCTCCTATTACAAAAGAAGGAACAGAGGTATGCTCACATATCCTGACCATCTGTCAGAGTGGAGTGGATCCACAAATATGAGCCATCTTAGTGTTAAAAGAACCAAGTAACCACATCCTGAGTCAGGATGTGTAGCCCTAATTGTTGTCATCAATTTGGAGCAACCTCCAAACTCTCTGACCATCAGACAAAGTGGAAGTAGGCTCACATTTTTGGGCCTTTACACTGCCCCAGCCGACATAGTTCATGCCTCTGTACAAGAAGCAGAGTTGACCAATGGAGCAAGACTCACATTTATGGAAAATACATGAGTTTTAGATCTGACTAGTCCTATCTGTATTTGAATCCCAGCTCTACAGTTGTCTAGGACTGTGTGTTCTTTCAAGTTACATAAAGTCACAACACCTCAGTTTCTACAGCTACTGAAATGGAATAAACAACTCCTTTCAGGATTACTGTGAGTATATAGCTAATGTGTATAACATGTTTGAGTAATGGTAGGGAAAAACAAAAAAACAAATTAAGAACCATGGTATTATTTTTAAAAGTTACAAATACTGCCAAAAATAGATAGTAAGTGATGGTAGACCTAGAGTAGACACGCTTTTATCATTGACTTTCTCTTTCTTATAACATTTACAACATTTTAAACGATGACTGTTCACAATTGATCTCCTTTTTCGTATACTTTATGTCTTTACTTTGAAAATGTAGAAGATTCCTGTCAACAAGATACTTCTTAGACACAGCACAACACTAGATGAGCTAACAGTGCTTGCCAAATACACAGTCATATATGAAAACTTAGACAATGTCTAAGACCAACATTTTATGAAAAGCCAACATGTGTTAGCTGTCACAGCTGCTGCTGCTGTTACTTTAGTCATTGTGTGGAGTATGGAAATGACAAGGCAGCATTTGAGACCAAAGTTTAGAGTAGTAAAGCATGAGATGTTATCTCAGTGACAAAATCAAAACTAGAATGCAGATCACAAGGCAGCATGACAAATTAATCTGTAATCCTAGAAAGGACAGTTTTCCAAAGGATCCATTGTAAGAAGAATTTGTGAGTTTCAAGGATTTTCAAACTCAAAACTTTCAAAGCCAAACTTTCTTTTTTTTTTTTTTTTGTAATAGTAAAGAAGAATGAGGCAAGGGGGAAATACATTTTGTCCTCTTCTTTTTCCCAAAGCATGTTATTTCTTAGGTTTTTTTCCCTCCCCATTCTTGCCATTTTTTGAAATCCCCTTTGCAAAGGTCAGAAAAGCATCACTAATCCCTTCATATCACTTCCCAGAACACGACTTATAAAACTTAGCCACTTAACAAACAATAAAGGACTGCTGTACCCATAAACCATCCAGAACATTCCAACTTGCAGAGATAACATAATCCTGTTGTTTTGGGTGTGACTCTATGGGAGGGATGGAGGGCTACAATTCAAAATGCTGTCTCTAGAAACTTAGATAAGAATGATTGAACTTGAACCAGGGCAAAACACAGGATGCCCCATAAGCTGTCTACTCTAAGCGCTCCAAAGGACTTGCTTCCTTGTCCTGGGCCAGATAAAGGGGCAGCAGCTTAGTCAAGACCCTTTAGGTCTCTAAAAAAAGGCATCGAGGATGAACTTGAAAGAATCATGCCATGGGATGGGATAAAGAACAGGAGACATGTTTTTCCACAGTCTTCAGTGTCTGCAGCTCACCCTCAAGAACTTAACTTCAGCAGTCACTTCATTATATTTCTACTGTAAACGACACAAGCATGAGCCAAGTCAGCACCAAAACTCCCCTCAGAGTGCAGTGGGGTTAGGTCATCTGCACTTTATTGACAACTGCTGAACTCAGAGCCTCTAATGAGGCAGCTCAGCAAACTATGTGTCCTGCCACCAATGAGACTGTTTTTCCATGAATAATGAACAAGAACATCATTTCTGTTGCCAGGTACACAACATAAACAAAGCTCAACATGGGCCTTGATAGAGTGATTTTGTCCATTTGAAATAAGGGAATTTTTCAAAGTGCAAGCCAAGTCTTAGTAAAGGGTGGGACAGGCTGTGGTAAGAAGTAATACGAACATATGTTATCAGAATTTAATAAATCAGTTTTTGATTGTTGCAGAGTGGAGGCTGTACAGTGGGATACATTGAGACAATGAACAAATCCAAGTGAGTTCATTTCTTTACTTGGCCATCAGTTTTGTAACACAAGGCTGATGATTTCTATAACGAACTGAGATCTTCATGAAATGAGTCTTGAGACTTGTGATCTCAAAGGCTTTCTTAGTTAAAGCTTTACTTCTTAAGGCTGTTCAAACTGAGTGTAGATCAGCACTCACGATGAGAACATGACCTTTGCATTGAAGTCCATTGCCAGGTAGACCCATGGCATAAGACTATATATAACTCCTTTGGTACTAAAAGACTCTCAATATATGAGCATTCCGCCTACAGTGATGTATAAGTTACATCGAAGCTTCAACTGAACAGTGAGATGCTGGAGAATAAACAGAATAAAAGTGAGCTGATGTGAAGGCCAAACAGTCTTCAGTTTGTTTACCTTAAAGAATTCCACAAATACGTTCAAATCAGTTCCACACTAAGCCATGTATATCTTGTTACATGAGGTGCACATATCTACACAGGCAAGGGATGCCATCACTGGCTGAAGGCTTTTAGTGCCCATCATTCTGAGCAAGATTTTGAGGAAAACAAACAAAACAGGCTCAAAACTGAGCTCAGTTTCCTCAACAGCAGGGGCTAACAAAACCATCCTTTAGGAAGAATTTGTGGGTCAAAAATAAAATCCAAATGACATAGTTTTCTCTCCGTGTTTGAAAAATACCAGGAAATCTGTGATCTGAATAATTCTTAAATGGACTAATGAAACTTACTAAAGAAAGAATTTTTGCAATGCAAACAATTGTTATGTAGTTAGTATAAATGATTATACCTTAATATCAAATTTATAAACGAACACATTTTATGGAGAAAATTACTGAAATAAGTCAGAAGAGAGAATCTAAGTGTAGCAGGTAACTACGTATATAATTTTTATACTATAAATCAAACACACAGACACCACAACAGACAGAATAGTCCTAAGTTCTCTAGACTGTACCAGTTTCTTTCCCTGACTCGCTGGTAACAAGTAAAGTAGAATAAGTTCACAGGGAATTAACCGGAATGGCAAAGGGTCTTCAAGGGCATCTTGCAAAGAAATGTGTAGCTGTTATTAAGGAAGACCTGTGGGAAAGGGAACGAGTGGGGCTTCATCACTGTCACCTGTGTACAGCAGCTACCTGTCCTACATTGTTCTAGGGCATCGACAGGACTGCCAATAGTGAGCACACTCAACCCGCAAGGTGTCATGGGAAGACTTTGGTGCTGCCCAACCCCATAGTGCTGTCTCTTGATCAGGAGGGAATCGAGGGAAGACACACAGCTGCCAGAGTATGAGCATATCAGCCGTGTGTGGGAAGCAAGGCTAAGAGTAGAGCACAAGTTACTTAACGTTTCTGCCCTGGTAGGCGCTAAATTGAAGGCGCTAGAAAAGAGCCATCATAACGCGTAGGTGACAATTCTTAGAGCGTTATCCAAGTCCCACTGGAAATTGTCATTCCTATCTAATCAGTGGATTTTATCAAGGAGAAAGGAGTTCTCAAATGCATAAAAATACCCAAGGACTTACCGTCATACTTTGCTAAGACTGCCTGGACATCGGCATAAGCTTGGAGCTCCAGAAGGGCTTCTAGAAGGTTTTCATGGATATTGAACATGCTTAGGAGGGGAAATTCCTTCATTAACTAGGAAACAAGAGACCAGAGGAATAATTAATATACATGTCTTATATTTTCACATTTATACTTAAGGAATATAACATCTGTGCAGTAAAAGGATTTCTAAGGTCAAGTATTTTAAAAACTAGTACTTGAGGCTGGTGAGATGGCTTAGTTGGTAAAGTGCTTGCCATGTAACTGTAAGGACTGAGTTCAATCTCCAGAACCTTATTTAAAACAAAGCAAACACACAACTCCAGTGTATGACTGCAATCTCAGTGCTGTGCTGAAGAGGCAGTCAGAATCCTGGGGCTGGCTGGCTGGCTAGTTCAGCTGAATCAGTAAGCTAGATGTTCAGTGAGAACCCCTATCTCAAAAAAACAGGAAAGGACAGGAAGGAGAAAGGGCAGAAGGAAGGGTGGGAGGGAAGGAGGGAAGGAAGAAGGAAAAGAGGGAGGAGTGCAGGCAGGCAGGCAGAGAACGAGATACCAGATCTTGTCCTCTGTCTTCCACATGCACATGCACACACACACAAATGTCGACACATAGAAAAAGAGTATTTATTTTTTAACAGTATAACTGATACTTAACTATCATATATTTGTATAATATAAAAATATAAAGACTAAGAAGATGGCTGGTTGGGACAGTGCTTAGAGTGTGACCCTCGTCAGCCTGCTTCTGTGAGTCACAGCACTGAGGAGGCAGAGACAGGAGCACCCTGGCACTTGCTGGCTAGCCAGTCTAGTCCAACCAGCAAGCTCAAGCCTCGGGTTCCACTGAGATGCCCTGTAAAAAGCACAGTAGATTCATAGACGCAGGTGCCCTGTTGTGTCTGCAGGACACTGTGTGGGGCCTGGAGCAGGAGGTGGGCGTGGACTCTTCCCCTAGGTGAGAAGCTAAGGGCAACTGGTAGCTTTTGGTGGGGGGGGGGGCATTTAAGAGAGCAGTTCCTGTTATGTTAACCACACTTCAGTGACTAGCCCCATACCCAAGGGTATACTGGCAGCGCAGACAGAACTTGAGAGGACTGGAAAAGAATAAGATACAAAGTTGGTTGGGTAAGGAAGACAGGGGGATCTGGGAGTTGGGGAGGATGAATATGATCAAAATACATTGTATGAAATTCTCAAAGAACTAATAAAATAGGTTTATTTATTTATTAATTTATTTTAGTTTTGGTGAAAACAAAACAAGGCAAACAGCACCTGACCTTTGGCATCCATATGCATAAGCACATATGGGCACATGCATCTAAAAGCACATGTGAGCCCATACACATGTGCATGCAATACATGAAGACACACACCAACAAACTACAATCCCTAGAAGTAAAAATAACATTAATATTAGATTACAAATACTCATATTTAAACGCTTCAGTTTTTGCTTTTATTGTTTAGGAGAATGATGAGTCTGAATTTGTGCAAACCTAAAGTGGGAAGAAACCTAAAATAGATTTTCAGAACAATACAAGATGTTTGGTAACTACAAATACCACAGAGAGACTAAACCTGGTGAAGATGGAAGCATAGCTTGCAGACTTTAACAGCTACTGGTAGCTTGTCCAGAGCAATTTGGATGGAAGCTACAGAGTGAAAGGAGAGGCAAGGGAGCACTGTTCTTTCAAGCAGTCTGGAAAAATCAAGAACTAGGAAAGCAGTTAACTAGAAGGTAGCATGACTGAGAGAAAATTTGGTTGGGATTGCGGTGGTGTAACGTCAGTAAGACAGCAGTCAAGGTCATCTGCTGGACCATGGGAAAGAAGAGGCAAGAGGAGTTAAAGACAGAGAGGGATGTGCAAAATAACAGGGGTAGGAATCTGTTTAGAGCAGGACTATCCTGAGAGCCGAAAGCCTGGAGACTATGGATGCAGAGAGGCCACAGTTGCCACAGTTGTTGCATGTCAGCAAACAGGGAGCATCAGCTGGGCACATAAGCAAGATAGTCTATGGTTAGGTTGAACTTGGCAAACTGGAGGAAGTTCTGTGAAATGGCAATGAACAAAAGATGTGCCTATGGCAGGAAAATAGACTAAAGAAACTCAACACAGAGAAGGCCAGGAATCCACTGGGATTCACACGTAACAGTGCTCAATATCAGTGAGAAACAAGAAGATAGGACGAACCAAGAATTTACTAGTAAATTTTCTCTTAGATAAGGGTAAAATTGCATCTTAAGAGAGAGAACCAGGTTCTTTGTAAACTCATCAATTTGTGTTGATTTATTTAACCCCCTACATGGACAACTACTGTCAGTTACAATATGATGGCCTTTAAAAATAAATAAAATTTTTATAACACTATCCATGATAGAAATCATGCTGAAATAAATAATAATAAAGTACAAGTGTTTTGACTAGCTTTATGACAACATGACACAAGTTAAAGTCACTGGGAAGGAGGGAGCCTCAGTTGAGAATGCCTCAAGAAAATCTAGCTAGGGAAAAGCATGTAGGGCATTTTCTTATTAGTGATGGGTGAGGGAGGGTCCAGTCTAGCGTGGGTGATGCCCTCCCTGGGCAGGTGGTGGTCCTGACTTCTATAGAAAAGCAGGCAGAGTAAGCAATGAGGAGCAAGTCAATAAGCAACAAAGCTCCATGGCCTCTACATCAGCTCCTTCTTTCAAGTTCCAGTCCTGCTTGAGCTCTTGTCCCGACTCCTTCAGGTATGAACTAGGATGGGAAAGTTTAAGCCAAATAAATCCTTTCCTCTCCAGCTTGCTTTTGGTCACGGTGTTTCATCATAGCAAAAGTAGTCCCAACTAAAACAATAGGCTAATTTATCCCTAACCAATGGACACATGGTGTGGACTGTCTACTTCCTTTGTTAAGAACATTTTTTTAACATCTTAGCTTTACTAAGAATATTCTTTTGTTTTGTTTTGTTGTTGTTTTATCGAGACAGGGTTTATTTGTAGCTTTGTAGCCTGTCCTGGAACTAGCTCTTGTAGATCAGGCTGGTCTCAAACTCACAGAGAGAGACCTGCCTCTGTCTCTCAAATGCTGGGATTAAAGGCATGTGCCACCACTGCCTGGCTATTCTTTTGTTATTTAAAAGCCATGACTTACTGGGCACATCTTTAAACTTTTTTTTCTAAACCAGAAAACATAATTTTACTACTAAAATCACCTATCAAAATCATTTGGTGTACAAAAAGGCCCACAGTCTGAACTCCCAGAAAGAGGCCTGCAATATTTTCATTGTTATTAAAGGACGCCAATGAGACAACCCCACACACGGTGGATGTTCTGTAACTAATAAAAGTATTTCTTGTTCTGGTTCACTGTGGTCCTGGCTGACATCATCCTTTGATTTTTTTTTCACTTTTTCTAATTAAAGCTTGTTAGAACTCAAATTTTCTGTCATGTAGCAGTTGGCAAGACAATAAAGACATATTTTGAGCTGCAACATTTAAACATTTATCATTTTTGACCAATTTTTCAAGTAATAATCAAATATCAAGGACACAAGTCATATTATATAATTTTAAAATGTAATTCCAAGTTTTAGTTGCTAAAGCTTAAGCACTGACTCTTATTAAAGCCCAGGAAGGCATGTGTGCATCCGACTGCAAAGATGCATGGCTGGTCTCAGGGCCATCATCTCCATGTGAGGAGCTTCCCCATGCAGACATCTGCTCTGCCCTCCCATCTACGAGATCAGGATCAACTCATAAACTGTCTTTCTGACAGCTTTACCTTGTGCCCATACAGTAACACACCTGATGCCCTGCTGAAAGCCTCCCTCTCCAGGAATACCTTTCAGATCTGTTCCTCAGCCTTGGTGTCTCCTCCGCTGGAGCACAGTGCTATCAATCTCCCACTGACGTCCATTCCCTACACTATTGACACCTGACAGGTCCTTGCGCCCTTTCATATGTAAAATGGACAGATGGCATTCAAGTTCTACTGCAGCTGCTGAAGTAAACAGATACATCACACCCTTTTCTTTGAGCTTGGAGTCATAACTTTAGCTACACCCTCACACTTGGCGCTGATGTGTGTCATTAGAAACCTTATTGTTCCTGTCACAGTATCATCTTTTCTCAACTCAACCTTTGCAAGCCTGTTTTACAGTTTTGTTTTTAACATACATTAAGATCATGCTTCATGACCCTGTCTGACTAGACTATTCCACCAGAACAATGACATGGTTACCTATCACAAAAAGCTAGTCAGATTTGAATACAAATTTACAAAGAAGCTATTTATCACACTATTTGTTACAGTAAAGAAAAATGCAAGTACCTTAAAATGTGACCCATTGCAAAAACAGTTATATATAGTAAATACCACTATCATTTGTCTATTATGTATGGTTATTAGAAGTTAAGTTCTTTCTGGACTTAAAACCTTATTGGTGGTGACAGCATAAACCATGGTCAGAGGACATGGAGAGATCAAATTGATATGGACCTAGAAGTTTCCTTCCTGTTGACCCATTTTCCTAGTACTGGAAACTGCTATTTAGGTTACTAGGGAAAGAAGGGGAAGCCATTGACAATTGCCAGTGTGAATCCTGTGAACTACAATAATAAGCAACTTGATAAGATATGCTTATGAGTGTAATAGTGGCATGGATGTTATGGGTGCAGTTAGCTACTTTTCTTGCCAATAGCTTTATGGAGTGTTCCACAAGAGGAAACGCATGCATGGCACCATAAATATGGCCAAGAACTCATGTTTGGGAAGCTCATAGATCCCAGGAATTAAACTACTATACTATTCTGCCAAACAGAAAAAGTATCAAGCTGCTATCTAAATTTGTATTTTTATATCCATAGCTCTCAAGCCTCATCAGAAAAGTGTCAGTGGAGGGCTCTGTCAAAAATAGTATCTCTTCTCTCTCTCTCTCTCTCTCTCTCTCTCTCTCTCTCTCTCTCTCTCT